GTACCAGATCTTCACCAGCCGATCGTTGCGGCCGCAGGTGGCGAAGAGCGTCCCATCCGGACTAAATGCCATGTGGTAAATGGGTATGGCCGTCTGGCAGCTCCAAATGTTCTCCCACGTGGACACATCCTCCGACTGGGCGTTATTCAGTTGCTTCGGCTCCTTGCTCTCGCCAATCTCGAACTTGACGCCTAGTTAAAAGGAAAACAAAAAAAAATATGGAATTTTCATTACAAAAGTGTGGCTTCAAATGACACTCTTGCAGGGGTTTTCTAAGAACACAATTGGAATGTTAGTAATTAGAAAGCTTGGCTATCGAAAATCAAATAAATGCTATAGCTTATAAAAAGGTTTCTAAGAAAAGAGCTTACAGTAAGGTAATGCAGCATAAACAAGCTGCTCAATAAGTATCAGTATACAAAACTTAGCTATTGAAAATCGAATAAAAAAACACAGGAGACAAAAATTTATTACTTAGTAGATTTTAAACTTGGGAATTTGGTTTCCCAAAATCCTACATTTAAAAAAAACAGTATCTATACTTTTGGAGAAGTGTACTTTTAAATTAAACTAAATTACAGCTATAGTTTTTTAGGCCAAGCCAAGCTTAAAAAGGAATTACGTAAAACAAAAAATAGCTAAAGTGATTTAGTATGCCTTTAAAAAATCAGAAAATAAATTAGGAAAAAGCCACTGATGTCATCAGAACTACTGTATAATGTGAAAACCCCCCTCAGAACCCCATTTCAACCACTTGGAGGAAACTGTGATTCATCTTCTCCCACGCCAATCAATAGTTGGCAGCAGAGGGCGTCAGTCGAGTGGGTTGTATACCCAAACCCATGGCCAACTCACCCGTGTGCTCCTCCTCCTGCTGGTGAGTGGGTGACTTGCTCTTCCACAGCTGGATGTTGGTGCCGCCGGTCAGGAGACGGGTGCCCTCTAGATTCCAGGACAGGGTCACCACGCTCGAGTGGCTGGTAAACGAGCCCGTTTGCACCCATCTGCGAGGGAAACAGTCAAGAATTGGGTTAATAAGAGTGCCATTTCAGACTGGTTGTAAACGATGCAGCGGCATGTGATATTTAGATCACTATAAAAAACATATAAACCAGACATCTTTCAAGTGTTTTGTTATTTTCTTAAGGAGAAAGTCATACGATGTGTCTATGCCGTTGTTTCTTTTGTCATTTCCTTAAAGTTTATTCAGCTGCTGCATCGTTTACAACCATAGCTTATCTGGTTATAACCTGTAGTCCAAAAAGTGGGTGTTGTGCTTGCTGGACTCAATCACCGGCGTGGGCTCAAAAATGCATATCTTGTTCTCATAGGCCGCCGCTATCTTTCCGGTATCGGTGCTGCAGTCCAGAGCGGATATCTTGACATAGCCATGGTTGGCGCCCGGAATGATCTGGACGCGCTCGAATGTGCTCGCCAGGATGACCACATTGCAGCCGGCGGCGTAGGCCTGAAAATTGCACAAAACAATGGCATAATAAGTGGCTAGACTTTACTGCAGTTAATCTAAGCATTATACGATCGTTATGTGCTCTCCGGGGGTATTTGTTTTCAAGTGTATATGGGGGGAAGGTATACATATATATATATGTATGTATATATGGGTATATATCGATAACAATACCCCAACTGTCCAGTTAACTGGCTTATCAGGCGGGCTGACAAGGCTCTTGCCACATCATGTTTGGTTACCTGGTTAGCTAAAGTGTGTTTGATTTATTTGTTGAGCTGTCGCTGATATGCTCATTAACGTGGGCACAAATTTGAATACCCTGCGACGCCGTTTAAAAAGGCGGGGTATAGCATATAAGAAAAAAAGAGGAGGCATTTAATAAAGTTAAAGTTGAGATCAATTAAACATTTTTTTGTAAGCCTATTGGATGATTCTATGGATTACAAATATAAGTAAAATTTCTTTGATTTTATATCAAGAGCGTTGAAAGGATAACTGACAATTTTGGTGGAAAAGGTTGGGTCCCAGTCAACTTTATCGAATAATAAGTTCATTGATTTGATAGATTATGGTTCTCTTATTTGGTTATAACCGTGATATATAAATAGAGATTTTTTCGCAATGCAGAGGGGCTTTAGTGCTCGTTATCATGACAGTGGAATGTAAACCTCCTTTTCGTTGCCTGGAAATAAATTGTCACAATAATGATATCTGAGCTTTAGATAAAAACTCTTCTAATTTATTTACTTATTTATATTAATAGAATCTTTTACTCTTTTGCGATTCCTAACTCATTTGCAAGGGCATCAACTGTTTCGTCATCTGCTTACTTTATAATAGAAAAAGGGTATCAACTACTCTTTGGTGACGGGTTTATTTTTAACTGTTCTACTTTCCTAGATTTTTAAAGCCCGTTAAGTCTTTTTTACCTATTAAAAATTCAGGTTTTTTCAATCATTCCGATTACCAAGTCATTAATTTCACAGATAAGATTATTTAATATAGAAGGGCATTTGGCTGTTTTATAATTTTGTTTTACTTTTATAGAAACAATTAAAATAAGCTATATTGTGGGAATATTTATAATGTAAGTAAGGGTATTCATGGCTTCTACATAGTTTATATTACTAGCATAAAAATGGGTATTCATGGGTTTATTTTTAAATTCTTGTTTCGACACATAGCTTCTTATTCATGGGTTTTTTTTTTGTTGGGACGGGGGTGTTCGTGTTTCCCCCAAGACCCGTTAGGTGGCGCCAGGGGACTCTCTTTCGTTCCGACCATGTACTATATAAATATTATTATTCACATATGCATGCACTCGAACTTAAGCAAATTGAAATGATGGCAAATGATATGGCGCAAAAGGCGGGTGGAAAAACGAGGGTCTGTGAACGGGGGACTGTGTCAACAGCGGTGCTGATTACAGAATAGAATATAATAGAATAGAATATAGAAAGTACACATACGCCCCGTGGGGCCTCTCATTAGAATGGCGAAATGTGCACAGTTAATTATGCTTCTGAAGGCTTACAGGCAAAACACACAGCACGGTCTCTTGATCGGATAAACATTAGGGGTAAATATACACCAATATTATACATATATAGTACCATATAGTGTGGGGATCGAAAAGGCACATTATAAATGCGTGCTCGTGTTTTTTATGGACTGTTTATAATTTGAAATAGCTTCAGGTAAGGGTATAAATATTAGATCTGATTACCAACATTTGAGAGTTATTTTAAAGCATTGCTATTTTATTATTGTTTGGGCATACCAAATGAAATTCTTTCTATCATAACAATTAAGGGAGGTAAATAAGGTAAAATATATACAAAATGTTCTAACAGCATATAGTATATATGGTACCATATAGTATAGGGATCGAAAAAAGCACATTATAAATGCGTGCTCACGTTTTTTATGGCCGTTTATAATTCCAATTTGCCATTGACGTGTGACGGAGAGACAGAGAGGGAAAGAGAGAAAGGGAGTGCGGGAGAGTGGGCCAGCGGGTGAGTGGGAGGGGGACAACCTGCAAGCTGCGAAATTAGGGCATCAAAGGCCACCTGACCAATCGAAGGGTACACACAAACAAACACACTCAAACACTTTCACCCACACGACTGCTGGCAGCTACTTACGCATGTGTGCGTGCGGCTTGTTTACTGCCAGCACTTGACCTTAAAAATGTAAAATGTAATTAATTGCTGGCCAAGTATGTAAATGCAGGTGAAAACAAACATTTTCAGCTTTTGTTGTTATCGAATTTGCACAGCGCAGCACGCCACACATCCACACACACACACACACAAAAAGTTCTCTATCTCATCATTTGCATTTGATTTTTTTAATTGACCACCAAGTGTGGCAAAAATCCATACACATAAGCCGTACACACACACACGCAGACGGAGACACACACACATGCAAATATGTAAATAAAAACATTAAAGACGTGCTGCGATCGGTTCTGGTTGGAATGACGATGATGATGCCCCGTTTCCAATTGGAAGTTGGGGAGGAGACTGCTAAAATAACGGGCCAAAGTAATCTAACGGGCAATGATTGGGGAGGCGTGGCCGGGGGGAGGCAATCAATGCTTTGCAAATAATGCTGATTCCTCCTCCGATTTTTGATTCGATTTCGATTCTGATTCTTCATCGCTTACTGTAAATGGTATGCCTTCCACGGATCCAATCGCGAAGCACCGGTCGCCTGCATTGCATGCGCCGCTCAATATCTGATGACAATTCATTATTTACACACAATTGATTATCACATCACAGCGCACGGATATTGGGGGCTTGGTTCTTTGGTTTCTAGCACGAATTTTCCTTGCTTCTTGTAACAAACGACAACAAAGTGACATTACATAAAAATTAGAGTTGAGTTCTTAGCCAGCGCGGCCAATCGATCTATCGATAGTAGGGATGGGAGCCATCGCTCGAGCACATCGAATGTGTTTTTACTAACCTATTTAAAAATTTAAATTTCATTTTTTAGTCAAGAATGGGCGGAGCGGTAAAAGATAGTGACTGGAACCTTAAAACAAATTCTTTAGTTTCAGTTCATTTAACTCCAATGACTTATAAGTTCGCCCAACAATATAAAATTTTCCGATTGGAGTGATATTACCTCTAACGATAGGTGTTTTATAATTAATTAATCTTGTTAAGTTTTTATTTAATCCTGCTTAAATTATTTTAAGCTTAGACAATTTGTAGCTCAATTTCTTATAATTTTAATGAGAAAAGCACATTTTTAATTTTACATACAGTTTTATAGCTAATCTACGAATTTTTGACACAAAAACCCATATATTTTAGCAAGTTTTGTGGGAAGGTTATCCATAACTGCAAAAAAAGTCAAAATTTTAAAGTAATACATATTTTACGCTTTCAAAATACCAACAATGTATTCGGGTAACTACTCGATATAAACTGAAACATCGATTGTCTCCAATTAGTCCCAAATTATCGATGTGTCGATTTTTCACCCATCTCCCATTCTTGTTTGTGCCATCCCCAAAAAACTATCGATAGGCCTTAGGGAATTTGCATGTTAAAAACGCCGAAAATTAATTTTTGGTTTTGTTTATAGAAATAGTGTCAAAATGGCGGCAGGTCCAATTGCTGAACGCAACCAAGGTGAGTGATTTGAGGAGCACTGATCCCCGGTGGCCCTTCTTAACCAGCCCCCTGTGATTCCTCCACAGATGCCACCATCTATGCCGGCGGTCTGGACGACAAGGTGTCGGAAACGCTGCTTTGGGAGCTATTTGTCCAGGCGGGACCAGTGGGTGAGTGTCTAGTGTTTCCCAGCTTATCTCAAGCATATTCAATAATCCCTGCTTGCCCCTACAGTCAACGTACACATGCCCAAGGATCGGGTCACCCAAATGCACCAGGGCTACGGATTCGTGGAGTTCCTCAGCGAGGAAGACGCCGACTATGCCATAAAGATCATGAACATGATCAAGCTATATGGCAAACCGATACGCGTGAACAAGGCGTCGGCGCACCAGAAGAATCTGGACGTGGGCGCCAACATCTTCATTGGCAACCTGGACGTGGAGGTGGACGAGAAGCTGCTGTACGATACATTCTCCGCCTTCGGGGTGATCCTGCAGACGCCGAAGATCATGCGAGATCCGGAGACGGGCAAGTCGAAGAGCTTTGCCTTCATCAACTTTGCCAGCTTCGAGGCCAGCGATGCGGCCATGGACGCCATGAATGGCCAGTACCTGTGCAACCGTCCCATTTCGGTGTCCTATGCCTTCAAGAAGGACCACAAGGGTGAGCGGCACGGTTCGGCGGCGGAGCGTCTGCTGGCCGCCCAGAATCCGTCGGCCCATGCGGACCGGCCGCATCAACTGTTCGCCGATGCGCCCGTGCAGAACATGATGCCGCAGATGCCGGGCCAGATGATGCCGCCACCGATGATGGCCCCGCCGCCGCCAGTGGTGCCCGTTTCGAACAACAACATGGGCATGATTGCGCCGCCGCCGCCCGTGCCCCAGCCCGCTCCGTTCCCAGCCACGATACCGCCGCCGCCGCTGCCACCGATGGCCGGCGGTCAGCCGCCTCTGCCGCCGGCAATGGGCATTCCGCCACCGCCGCGCATGATGCAACCGAATGCCTGGGCACCGCCCGGCATGCCGGCGCCGCCGCCCAGACCACCGCCCACCAACTGGCGTCCGCCGCCCGTGCCCTTCGCCCCCGCGCCCTTCGCACGGCCCTACCAACCCGATGGCTACCAGTACTAAGCTAGCGTGTAGTGTATACCAATTTGGACGAGAAGAAATAAATTTTAATAGGATTTATCAATAAGGGATGCTCTGGTATAAGTTAAGACTCCGCTGGGGCTCTACTCTCGGATTTTTAATGCATTTAATATCTGAACGGCATAAAAACTGTTCCGATTTTTAGTAGCATATGTTTAAATCATGTCTGAACTACTACTTTAAATCCTGTATGTTTTTATTTTATATCAACTCTGCCCATTTTTCAAGAATTCATTTAAAACTACCAATTCATTCATACTGCTATGGATGCTAAAGACTATATTGGATATTACTTTTTGACTATGAATTCAATACACCTAAATAAAAAAGATATGTACATTTTGTCAACTATCAAAATGCTTAAATTGAAGTCTTAGTTACCAAACCAACAGCCCAAGTCTAATTTGTAGTTTGTACAATTTGACAAGATAAGAAATAAATTTTAATAGGATCTATAAAAAGATTTCTTCAGGCTTATCCTTTCTCTTCACTCCGCTTGACTTCCTCTTGTGCATTTAATCCGAAATATTTCAAGAAATGTATAGAAAACTAGCTAGTTTAAGAAATTAGGGTTTCGACTTGCCCAAAAAGGATTTATGAAATAAAAGATTTTTATGAGAACATACTCAAGAATATATTTCTTCGATTTGGGTTTCAAAAAAAGTCTCGAAACAGAACTGAAGAACAAGCGATGATTCTTATGTTGCGTTTAATTTCAGTTTAAAATTATATTTTAAACGGAGAAAGTTCAGTTCCTGAACTAGAAGGAGATAGCTATACTTTCCGGTCTTCTTCCATAAAACTCTATATTTGCCATCCCGCTTTTTTTCAAAATTTAAGAAACACTTGGCTTTGGTTCTTGTAATTTGTTTTGCATAAATTTATTAATATGGGAAACATACAAGTACAATATTTACAATAGTTTTGACTACTATTCTGTTTTCTTTTTTTTACTTCTCATTTATTGAATTCTTGTCTAAGCAAATTTGGTTTAGTCCCACTGTGCTATCTTCCATTTCGTTTGGTAAAATAACTTAACTTTAGCTTTACGTTTAAATGGTTATTTTTAACGTTATTTTCTTGTTTCTTTTTTTTCTTTCTTTTTTGGTTAAGCAAGACAAACAACAACAAAAAAAGCAGTGAGGCATATATATATAAATAAATATATATAATTATTAATTAATAACGATTTACATTCAAGGTGATCGTTACGCATAAATTTTCTCGCATTTATTGAAATTTCTTTTGGTTTCCGATTTGTTGTTTTTTTTTGTTTATCTTAAAAAAAAAGAATTATATATAAAAAAATAATAATTAACATAAAAACGTTCTGAACTGGTTTGGTTTTTTGTATGTGTGTGTGTGTGTTGTGTGTGGGGGGATGTTGTGTGTTGATTTTGTTTGTTTGCTGTTGTTGTTGCTCCTGCCCCTCGGAAAATGTGCCTCTGCTACTGGTGGCTACTGGTGGCCACCGGCTACTCCGTGCCCCGTGTCACCCGCACTCCAGCCTACTTGGCCGCCGTTGCCGCCTCGGTCGCATGATTGCTGGCATTGTTGGACTTGCGCTGGGTGGCACCACCACCTGCTGCTCCTCCAGATCCTCCGGCCGAGGGCGCACCGCTGTTCGACTTGTTCTTTGAGCGCGCCGTTCCGTTGGCCAGCGCTGCATTCTCCGAACTGTCTGAGAGATCCTCACTATCACTGGAACGTATGTCACCGGACATCTGCAAAAGGATTAATTGAAAACGGGTTAGCATGGTTAACTCAACTATAATAAATATTTAGGATTTAAGTTAAATAAAGAATTCGAAATAAATATCTGTTTCAATCTTAGATGAGCGGAAGGCCATAGTTGCTATCTTTTAGTTTTAAAGCTTAAGCTAGCTTTATATAAATAAATAAATAAATGTCTGTTTGAAATGTAATGTTAAGAGATATATTGCTTAAAGAAATAGTTTTATAAGTAAACCAATTGTAGGCAAGCATAATATTAAAAAATATACAAAAATAACAAATTTCAATTGAATTTTTTTGTGGGATAACGAGTGTGCTGAGAATTTATTTTGAAAAAGACTACAAATGAAGTTGGATAAACACAAACGTTAAATTTACATACTGATATATATATATATTAATATTTATGCAAAGAAAATATATTTATTAATTTGTACATTTTTGTGATAAACCAAAAGAAATTAAAGCATACAAATTTTAAATTTTTTACATTTTTATGATAAAAGAAATGTAACATAAATAGTATTGGAGTATAACACTTAAATATACAAAGCAAAATTATTAATCATTCAGGTAATTTTTAAAATGGCTTTTCTTTTAAAAAGGATTTTAATACACTGTTAACAGGATTGGGGCTTGATAAAGCTAGATTGATGCCGGTATACTTACCAGACCCTTCTGCAGAGAGTCGACAACGATCTTGAGAATCATGTATGTCCAGATGACGTGCAGGACGAGCAGCATCAGAAGCAATGAGTTGAAGATGTAGTAGGCTGGGAACATGGGCAGAATGCGCGGTGCTTCCACCGATGAGCTGCAGGGTTGACAGGATTGTGGCATTTGGATTGGGATCAAGTCAACAACAATGGGGGTATCAGGGTGCCACTACCACCACTCACCTGTAGATGATGCGTGGATAGAAGCCCAGGCGCGTCACAATCCAGACCACAGTGAAAATGGCAAAGATGGCATCGCAGAGCTTCTGGAAGTTGGCATACTTGGTGAGCTTGGCGGCCTCCAAGAAGATGTCGCCGCAATCGTGGACGACCAGGACCAGGGAGCCGACGCGATGCAGATTGCACACCCAGCTGAGGGACATCAGCAGCAGGGTGACCATGTGGTGGATGAACATCTGCCAGAAGTCCTTGCGTTTCACATCGAAGAACTGGGTGCCAGTGAGGGACCAGTAGAAGGACATCGAAATCATGTAATACCACCAGATATCGTTGCTGATCGACTGCAAGGCATAAGGGAGATATAAACTGTAATAGCGTTCATAACAGAAATCCCTAGATAAACCATACCTGATGCGGGTAGCCGTACCAGCAGCTCTTCACATCCCAGAACCAGGGCTTGTCCCACAGCACGATCACGCCAAAGATGAAGCTGTACAGATAGTAGATACAGCGCCAGGTATTCTCGCAGAACTTCACCAGCGTCGAGGGCTTGTCCTGGGCCCTTCGTAAACGCCACCAGCGCTCAATTTGGCGCTCGCTCATATCCGTCTGCTTGGACAGCGGAGCCAGCTAGTCAAAAAAAAAAAAACAATAATCAGTCATCTATATAGTAAGATAGTGATCGATATATTCGATTTGAACTAACCCATTTGTTGTCCAATCGCGTCGATTTGGCATAGGCCGTCTCCAAAATAGGAACATTTGCCGCCTTCTTAGGTCTAGAACTACGTATGCCCAGTGATTTGCCTATTGGCGATATCCAAAAACTGCAAGTAATACAGAGATTTCGATTAGAAAGTGATATTTTTAAAAGTTTTACAACCAGATAAAGCAGTGTTTTGGCACAGGTCTTTAAAGTTTATGATAGGCAAATAAACTATGGCTATATAAAGTTGATTGCATGGTAAACTTTAACTTGTTTGGCATTAAATTGGCAATATTACTTGCATCAGAAACGTGTTTTAAGGAAGTGTTGAAATATGTAGCACTCATTTTAATTGTTTTGTTGAGGGTTACAAAATCTAGAAACTATTGTAATCTTGGCAATCGAATATTCCTATCCCTGAAACCTGACAACATATCCAATTAAAGTTCCATTGGGCTTGACAACATCGCTAATTATGCATGTACGCATGGTACACCCATGGCGGAAACGTTTCTGGATTTGTTGTTTTTGTTTTTGTTTATGATTTTATTTTATTTATATTTATTTCGTACACACACACACACACCTGTTGTTGTCGCCCCAACGTCTGGCACGTGTGAAGCATGGCAACAACTGGGGTTTGGGTTTAGGCATCTGTTTGGGATGGGGTTTTCGGATGGGTTACCCGCACGCTCACATGCATAGGTAATTAGCCCGCCCAAAACTGGACACCAGACACCAGATATCTCTTTTAGGAAGTTAATTTGCCAATGAAATCGAAAATGGCCGCCTGCCACGCCCCCAAGATTTGCAGATCCCATGGAAGGGGTGCGTTTGGAATCGCAAGTTGTTTAAAAAGTAACCCCCTCATTTGTAGGCAAGGCACATGGCGCCAAAGCCAAAGAAGAAATGCGGAAACCTCGGTCGTAGATTCTCTCTGGCCATATATAAATTACAACAATTAATTTAAATTAATGCCGAATCTAAGTTCAGTTCAAGTTCAAGTAGTACGTATGTAATTCAATTAACGCACAGGCAAGGATTTTATTGACCCGCATTCTCTGTGGGATATTGATTTACTTCATAGCGCCCCTCTAATTCGTTGACAATGCCCAGAGTTGTAGGAAATAAACCCAATATTTGGGGAGGCTTCTCAAACAAAAAGTGCGTGCTGTACTGGGCGTGTAAAAATTAATTCAAATACTCAGTTTTATCGAAAATACATACAGAGTGCGTCATTTAAAGTGACGCAGTGTTCGCTTTATTATCAGAGATAAAGGGCAAGCATAATTATAATTATAACATTTCATATGGAACATTCATAGCGCACTGCTTAAATATGGGTCAACACAAAGCCAAATGTGTGGGAGAATTTTGATTTAAATAAATGCTATTTCTATGATTTAAAGCTACAAAATCGTTTTATAATTATAATCATTTTGATGAACTGGAGCGTCTTAAAGATCTGTATTTTATTAGTTAATTAAGTTTTTAATGGTTTTGGAATAGATAGGCCTAATCACAAAGAGAATACTTAAGTTTTTGCTATAAATTGTAGCAGAAAAACCATTTAAAAAAATCTATTAAAATATGTGGATTACACATTTAAATAAATTAGCTAATATTGCATTGTAAATCCGCAAAAAATTTTTTCAAATACCAGTATCGTTATTGAAACATCGATATGCACACATCGTGCGACTGCTGAAATTTCGCAACACTATCGATGTTTGGTGCCACCCCTATTATTGTTCCATCCCTATACCTGGTCCTCGCAACTCACAAACTATAAACAATAAAAACCCAAAGCTCCCCTTTTTCTGTGGAGCTATAACCAGACACGAATCTGTCACCATACACCTGACCCGTGCCAAATGGAACCGGCTGTGGAGAATTCTCTGCGGGATTGCGGGAACAGGAACGCGCAACTGCAGGGAATCTACCACGAGCGACAGACCAGGCACTTGTGCGGTCTGCACGCCCTGAACAACCTGTTCCAGAGTCCGGGAATGTTCTCCAAGTCGGAGCTGGACGACTACTGCACCACCCTGACGCCGCGCAATTGGCTGAATCCGCACCGCTCGTGGATCGGCTGGGGCAACTACGATGTCAACGTCATTATGTACGCCCTGCAGCAGAGGAATTGCGAAGCGGTGTGGTTCGACCGCCGGCGGGATCCACACTGCCTCAATCTTAGTGCCATCTTTGGCTTCATCCTCAATGTTCCGGTGCAGATGAGCCTCGGCTACTACGTCTCACTGCCCTTCCAGATGCGCCACTGGCTGGCACTACGGCGCATCGATGGCAGGTACTACAATCTGGACTCCAAGCTGCGGGAACCCCGATCCCTGGGCTCCGAGGATGAGTTCCTCGACTTCCTGCGCAGCCAGCTGCAAATGGACCAGGATCCGGAGCTGTTCCTCATCCTGAACGAAGAGGATGACCCGGCCACAGACGGGAACGAGAAGAACCAGCAACGTTGGCTGCTCCCTCAGTTCAGGGATTAAAGTTATGGTTATGCAAATAAAGTTATAGCGGCGTGGAACGAACCATTTATCAGTTATTCATTTCTTTTAAGACATTTAACCGAAAAGTGCCCTAAAATTCATGAAATATATTTCAATTCCCCTTTTTTCACTCTTCTTAAAATGGATTTTATTTGCAAACATCTTTAAAATAATTTAAAATAGCTAAATATTAAGGAATATATAAGTTTTGATGTACACTTTAAAATCATATTAAAATGTTTTGAGTCTAAAACCAACATACTCGTGTTTATTTAAATAAATCCCTGCGTATTTATTTAGTCAAACTAACAGTAATAATATTTCAAGAATAATCGACATATAACATTGACTTTTAAACAACAAATTCATTAAAAATATGTAGTTTGTCTAACATTTTATGTGACAGTTTGTAATTTGAGTTAAGAAAGTTCGACTGTACCTCAAAGTTAATAAAGAGCTAGCTAGAAATGGTGTATCAGACATTTTAAAGATGCATTTCCCAAGCAAATGTCTAGTCAATTCATTTGAAATTAAGAACCAATCGTTTATAAAAGCAATTTGAACGGTGCATTTTTCGTAAAACGCTAGATGTTGATTATCAAATTGGTTCTGTTTCGTGCGAATAATGAATGTGTTTTGATTGAGCTGCAGCTCGATGACAGTTTGCGATAAGAACCCCACCATTTTTTGGTGTACATATTAAAATTCACTTAGGCAATGTGCAAATAACGCGCCCAAAGTGCAATGCACTGCCAATTATTCGGGTCTTATCAATCAGCACAACAACTACAATTTTGGGACGCCGCACAAGCGGTCAAGCCATATGGGAATCGTATGTACATATATATGAATATATATATATATATATAGTACATGTGTCGCCTGATATTTGTCGAATTATTCGCGCTTGTCCACGATAATACAACACGCAAGGCGGCAAAGCCGGCAATTGTGAGATTAGTGCAAGTAAGTGGCCACACCAAGCTATAGGCTACAGGCTACAGGCTATAGCTACTATATACACATACTATATATGCATCATATGTGGTCCGATTTTGGGGCCGTCGTCCGTCTGACTCATGGCCGATTGCTAGATGGAATTTAGCATAAGCGCCATTAGTCAGCGACTAATTGATCGCCCTATAATTCTAATCTTTATACCATCCTCTATTTCAATTTGTTTGATGACTAACAACTTCAGCAATCTGCGTTTTTTTTTTTACTTTAAAAGTCAATAAAAGGCTGAAATTACACTTATTATTTCGGCTAGAATATGGTAATTCTAGGAATGGGGTGTTCCCCAACGCAAATGGAAAGGAAACTAAAATATAATTGTTTCTCAAATTTGTAATCTTTTTATGAGTCGACGGATACATTCGTAATGGTGCAAATCAGTAAGCATTTATTAAAAATATTTGTATGAATGAAATTTCAAATAATTTAAGTTCACAATTTAATTTTTTTTTCTTTTGAATTGTTGAAGATTTAAAATATTTTTAGGAGACTTTTATTACATTATTTTCCAAGGCATAGAAGGGGAAACAGTTGAAATGCTGTTCAAAACTATTTTAAAGGGAAGAATGAGAGGTGCTAATTGGACATTTAACGAATTGCACTGGCTATGGCGAACCGCTACCCCGGAATTGGATTACCCACCTGACCAGGTAGTACTCCTCATGCCCATTCCCATTCTCATTCTTATTCTCACCTGGTGCGTGAAGCACGTGCGTTTCTTCATTCTTTTCTTTCTCAGTTTTTATAGCTTTTTTTTTATTTTTTTTTTTTTTTTTTCACTACCATTGGGCAATCGGCACGATAAGCAATTGGAATGACCGACCGCGTTCGCAAGTGGGGAAAACTTTTGGAAACGAGTTTACGGATCGGTTTTTTTTTTGGGTTTTTGGGATTGTTGTTCTTAGAAATTCTATTGCCAATTTGGAGTTTCTTGCGCTGATAAAGAAGGTAGAACATATGGGGGTATGTGAAAAAAGATGTAGAAATGGAGAAGCAACTCGGCAATTGCCCATTTGCCGGCGATTATGTACTTTCGTATATATGTACATTTGTATAATACACATATAGCAGCTCTGTGCGATTGCTGTGTGCATGTGAGCCATTAAAATAATTAACCTGAAATTTTATCGCACTAGAGCGCTGAGCTCGAGGGTCGCCTCTTGGCGATTACGTATCACAAAAGCTTCAGCATAAATGCGGACAAATAGTACATGCCCCACACAGCTGCGCCCAACGAAATAGCACTCATAAATCCCACTTGAACTAATTCGTAATCAGCTAGCTGAAACCAACTATATCTTTAATCTAGGAAAGTTGCGGAAAAACACAAGAAAGTTTAAGGCAATTAATTTGTGGATGACAAGTTTCAATAGATAATCTGCAATATATTACAAATATTATTATTATGATACGTTAAATTTAAATACGATTATAATATTTGTGTATGAATTGAATTTTAAAAAATCTCATGAAATTAAAAAAAATTCTTTCAAACATTACTTGACTAAGATTAGGTTTTTCGGTAGCCATTTCCGCTTTTCAATCGTTTTAGGTATGATAACAATAACAAAAAAATCGGATTCAGTTATCTTATCTGAATTGTACCAAAAAAGATAAACAGTTATTCTTCGATCAGTTTATTATGGGCAAACTTAAATGAAAAACTAACTTAAGATACTATTCATTGATCCCTAGTTGTCTGAATTGTTTTAGTAACTCTCTCTCTCTCTTTTGTTCTTTCTTTCCCCCCAACATAAACATAAACATAAACCCCAATTCAATGCACACAACATTCCGAAGTGTGTTTGTATCTGGCATAGAATAGTTGGCCATAAGGGAAGCGCCAATCGGGCCATAAAACGCTTACATATTTGGAAAAACTTCTCAAGTCCATGACTCACTGGCTGGCCAAGTGATTTTGGTCAGGCTTGCAAAAGAAAAACGGTTGACGAATAACGAATAACGAACTAAACCCCCGCAGAAAAAATAAGATAGTTACTTATCTTTATTTTAAACAAACACATAGGTTAGTTATTGTTAATCTGAAGACAATGAATGAGCAATTCAAGAAAGCTCTTCTTGGCTTGTGTTAATATCATTTTATATTAAGAGTTGGAAAGATATTAATACTAAAATCGACTATGTAGTATTAAAAGAAACCATTACATACTCTTAATGATTTTATAACCAACTTATTAGTCGACATTTGACAGATTTTACCAAAACCCTAATGCACGCTTTCAACCCCAATAAAAAAAAAAATGTAAATGACACACCTTCCGAAAACCCCCCCTAATTATAGCCCCTGTCCACGCCCCTGGTGTACCCACACACCCTCAATGGGAACAGTCATTCGAGAGTTCGGCGTAAAACAATCGAGCCACTGAGCATTGTTATCAGGTTTTATACGTAAATCTTGGCACAAATCTTATCGGGCCAGCGCTGTGGAGTGGCGGTGCTGGTATCGGAGTGGTGCTAGTGGTGCTGGTAATGCCCAAGGTGGCTCCACTATGGCCACTATGGGCTTGGGATGGGGCTATTGGGAGGGGTCTCCAATCCCAATCCCCCCTATCGACTTCGACATCGACATCGACGACTTTTGCCATTAAATGAATGTTAATAGAGAGACGCGTCCAAAAAATCCAATTCGGCCTTGAAGATCAATTCTCGTTTAAGAAGCCAAAGATGAAGAAATACAAAAACTAAAGTGGTCTGCCATGAAACCGATTTGGTTTCGTTTCATTTTCAAACGCAAATGCAAAAAAGCCACCGAAAGAGCAGAAAATGAAATGAAAACACAAGAGGTTACAGTCGGAATTCTATAAGTTGAACTTACAATGCTCTGAACTATTAAAGTTGTAGCTTTGCTCGTTTAACAAATGCACACTATTTTTATTATGTTTTTTTGGTGAGTGCATGGCAGATGTTTGGAGTTTGCACTCCACTCCGCTGGACTGTGTGTATGCAACTTATGTCAAATTAAGGGCACCAGAAACATTGCTTAAATATGAGACTTACAACTTTTTTACATGCAAATGCAACTGCACGCAATCCGCACACACGAACGGCAAACATTCACACACTCATAGGCACATACATTTTTTTTTTCGATGCCAAACGACGCGCAGGTTAATTGGCCTGAAAAGCGACCAAAATGCTCTTGGCCCACAGTGGTTTAAAAGTCAACTGAAATTTTAGTTACTTATGTGCATTTTAAACTTTGTTTTCCGAGACATTTTATTAGGAAATGATCGTTTACATTTTAAATTGAAACCATCTTCCAATATTTACAAATTAATCCTAGACCCTTAAAAGTTATCTTAGCAAATATTATATTTTTTTAAATCGGTCAAGTGTATATCTATATAACTGATCCTCAAAGTGAATAGATATTGTTAAAATGAAGACTAAGAATTCAATCAGAAATTATCCTGAATGAAAACCGAAGCTCAAATAAATATGAAAATGATTATTAAAAAAATCAACTTGATCTAATATTTATATAACAAGTGCATAAAGTGGAAGGTTTTCCCAGAAAGGGTTAGCGATAATACAAACATGAAGTAGCAAGTAGTTTTTCCCGAGAATCGATCACAATTTTAAATAAACAAACCCACCTTATCGCATCAGGATGGCAAGACAATAAATATCAGTATTGGATTTCCATAAAAAGTAACCATATTTAGTGTACTATTTATGGAACAGAAAATAATTTTAAAAGAGTTTACACTACAAGAAGAAATAAAAAAAAAACTGTACTTAAGCGAGCACATTTAAGACTTCTGAGTTTAGGCATTTACTAACAGATTTTAATAATTTAATCAATTGTATAAATATTTAAGTTTTCCTAACATATTATTTTCCCACCAGGTTTTTTAGAGCTTTTATTTCGACCGCGACTGTACGTATGTGATATTTCCGAAAAAAGGTCGTTAGCGAAATTGGCAAATTGTTTAAATATTGGCCCCACCGTAGCTCGGTTTGTTCCCATTTCCTCACTGGTGCATACATCCATAGAAATACACAAACACACCTCATGGAGACCATAAACAAATATATATGTATGTATGTTTTCCCTTTAACTAAACAATTAGCAAGAAGTAAACTGGAAGTGGAGTGGACGGGGGGGGCTGAATATTTTGTGGGAAATTCGTAGCCGGCTGACTGGAAACTGCAGCCGGCGTCGCATGGAAGGGAAAACTTAGAGTTGCAGCAGCAACAACAACTGTGCACGCGTGTGCGCCGCCTCACACACACACACACACACACACACACTCATACGCTTGCAGAATGTTGGGCGTTTCCACGTGAGGTTATGTTTGTCGAAAAAAAAAAAAACGGAAAAGGAATTATGAATAAAGTTTACTGTACATGGTGCAACAAACGTGGGCGGGAGTTCTCAATGGGAAAGAGGAAGTAAAAGGAGAGAGTGGAAATGGGGTTAAACAGAGGCGCATGGAATACAGTTGCCGGGAACGGGACTCGGAGTGGGAATCAGAATCGGGAAACTTACCGCTCAAGCGTGTAGCGGACCAGCATGACGACAGCGGCGAATGGAATGGGCCAGATGAGGTCCTTATAGTTGGCGTGCACCACATCCTGTCGCGAGCCGGGCGCAATATCCGCCCAAGTTGTGTTCGGCGGCAGCCAAATGTGCTCACTCCAGAATGCATTGCTAAACTTATTGATTAGATCCATGTTGCTGCTGGTTCTGCTTCTGCTGTTGCTGCTGCTGATTTTATTTCTCAATTGTTTTTCTCCGCTTTTTAGTTTTTCCCTGGCGTTTGTTGTCACATATATTTGTGTATATGTTTTTACTTAATATTCGCAATTGTGTGCGAGTCTCTTGCATGCGACCCTGCGTTTGTATGCGTGTTTTGTGTCTTGGAAACAGCAACACAACAACAAAAACAGGAGCACCGGTCCACACACTCTCGCACTACGCACACACACACACACCGCACACACACTGGCAAAAAACGAACCGCCGAATTGTTGTTGTCCTTAGTTAATTTTTTGACTATTTTTTTTTCACCCGTATTTTTTGCCGCTTCGAAAGGAAGAGTGAGTATGAGAGAAGACGGAAATCTGTCGGCCAAAGAAATACACTTCAGAATTTCGGGTCGAGCTGAGTGACAGACCAGAAAAACGGCCCGCTGTTCACTTAAACTTTCAGGATGGAACGAAAAAAAAATACGAATGGGCTTTGCACTAACCACTATATACTCGGTTGCTTTCGGATAGAGGTGGCGAAACATCGATGAAAACATCGATTGGTCGGGTGGTTGAGAACTACGGGGGTTGGGAACTTCGGTGGCTGGGAACTTGGATTGTTCAACAGAAATAAAAACGTTTAGATTTTAAGTATAAAAGTTATAAGGTTTAAAATGTATTGCTTCCCAGTTATTTTAACTCATAATTATTTTCATAAATACAAAAGTCCCTGCATAATCTGCGTCTCAGTTGTTTTTTCTCACCTGTATATTTTTCAACCAATTTTGTTTTTTCAATGTTTTTATTTTTATTTAACGCAAAAAGACAATCCAAAAACAGCAAAGTTTTAATTGTTTTCATATATTTTTCCGATTTTAATAAAACTTATATCGCAATACGTATTGTAATGTTAAACATAAATTAAAAATCAGCTGTATTAATTTTCATTTATTTTAATGATGGCTCTAATGGGAGCTATATATAAAGTCACAACGCTGTAAGCCTCTGACTGATATTATAATATCCTCTGCAAAGGGATAAATCTATTTAAAACTATTTTAATTGAAAAAGTGTTTCAAGAAGTGCAATAAAACACCCACAATTTTCCCATAACGATGTCAAATCAATTCAAAGAGCGCGGTATAACTTCCTTATCCGGCACTAACTTAGCACTAAGTAAATCGAATATACAATCGATTTTAAGCAAAGATCCGCTCCGCATTCAGCAAAGACTCGCCCCTTAACTATCGACTAGCTCCAATCGAACGAGTCATCGATAACTCGACGCCGCCATTGCGCACGCTAGCCAACACTGCCTCTTTGACACTTCTGCTTCTTCATCTTTGGGTTTTTTTTTATTGTGACTCTGCAAGCGACGTTTTTGGGCATTACTTTTAGTTAAATTCGTTTTTAAGCTATAGTTTAATTGTTTAATTTATTGTGATGGCCGAATTTCTGGACTCCGAGGCCGAGGAATCGGAGGTGGGTGTCTGAAAACGCCAAAATCACCGCATCTTTGCGTTGCGTTTTCTGTTTGTAGGCGCGCGTACTGTGTGTATATGTATATGTGCGGTGTGCGTTGCGAGTGTGTATATATATATTTATATTGCATTTTCCTTGACTTCCTCGCTTTTCCCATCCCGCAGGAGGAGGAAGAATTGGACGTGAACGAGCGCAAAAAGCTGAAGAAGCTGAAAGCCGCGGTCTCCGACAGCAGCGAAGAGGAAGAAGGTGAGTCTTTCCAGCCGCCGCGCGCGGACAATAACAATATGTGGTAGTGATCGCTGGGCGGGAAAGCCCCGCGTTCCCTTGGCCCATCCAAAAAAGAAAATATGTCAAAGCCAATGTTTTCTATAACTGGGCAACCCTACCGCCAACTGCACTCCTTTTGTTTACAACTTTGAGGTTATGTCTTGTGTTTTTACCGTGCTACCGTGGCCATGGAATGGTTCCAGTATGTGTGTGTGTGTGTGTGTGCGTGTGCAAGTGGAACAAGTGCGGCGAATTGGCAGAATGCGGCTTTTTCCAAAGAATTGCACTAGATCGAGATACTATGTATATCCTGGAATAATCAATGGATGGGATAGCGGATGTTAGGTGGTTTTTTTTCCAAGTAGGTTCCTTTATCCAAAAAAAAAGAATTTTCCATGTATCGATGCCTTTGTCATTTCAAAATAGTCATAGTCGATCCTAAATCTGACCGAACTAGCCCTTTAAACCAAAATGAGTTCAGGTTTATATGGTACCATTTATTTCGATTACTGATATTTTGTACTATTCTCAAACAAATTTCCGCAGACGACGAGGAGCGCCTGCGCGAGGAGCTTAAGGATCTAATCGACGACAATCCCATCGAGGAGGATGACGGCAGTGGTGATGACTCGGACACTGGGAGTGGAGGCGACACCGAAGGCGGAGGCAGCGGCAAGAAGCGCAAAAAGCACGAGGACGATGATCTGGACGATCGGCTTGAGGACGACGATTACGATCTGATCGAGGAGAACTTGGGCGTCAAAGTCGAGAGACGGGTAAGCTGTTCCCACAGCTTTAATTTTGACGTTTTATCTGAAGAGTTGGATAGCTTAAGTATTAAGTATTAAACCCAGTCCCAGTCAGAATTATGTTTAACAGTTTGGTCCAAGTCAGACAACTCCAATTAAGTTTAGGGCTTATGAATATTGTCAGTTAATGATTACGGGAGCATCCTAAATTAATCTCTACAGCATATATCACTTAATAATCTTAATTTTTGCCTTAAATCCAGAAACCTCCCAGTAAATCAGTTATTTAAGACTGTTTGAGCATATTTGAATCCCTTCAATGAATTTCCGAGGTTAAAGAAAATCTTGTTTACTGTTCTACCTTCGCAAAGCCGTAATCTCATAAAATTATACATCACCACCATAAGCACAGTGTAGTAATCACGATTTCCCTTGCAGAAGCGGTTCAAGCGCCTGCGTCGCATCCACGACAACGAGAGCGATGGCGAGGAGCAGCACGTGGACGAGGGTCTGGCACGGGAGCAGATCGCCGAGCAGCTGTTCGACGAAAACGATGAGGTAGTTACTCCTGACGAGCATGCAATCTGCATTTCCTAACCATTTGCATTAATCCTCCAGAGCGTTGAGCACCGCAGCGAGCGCAGTCCCAGAGAGGCGGACGCCTTTGACGAGGAGGACTCGGAGTCGGATGCGGATGATTTCATAGTGGACGACAACGGGCGTCCTATAGCCGAGAAGAAAAAGAAGCGTCGTCCCATCTTCACAGATGCGTAAGTTTATTTAACCGATTGGGAAACTAAATTTAAAAAAAATAGGAAGGAAACTTATTTAACTTAATAATATACCTTAATAGAATATACCTATTGTTATCGAGGGGATAATAATCATTCTTTAAATACACAGTTTATAAACTTGATACATTTACTTAATCCAAACTACAGATCGCTGCAAGAGGGCCAGGACATCTTTGGCGTGGACTTTGACTACGACGACTTCTCAAAGTACGAGGAGGACGAGTACGAGGATGACTCCGAGGGCGATGAGTATGACGAGGAGCTGGGCGCCGGCGATGATATGCGCGTCAAGAAGAAGAAGGCGCTCAAAAAGAAGGTGGCCAAGAAGACCATCTTCGACATTTACGAGCCGAGCGAACTGAAGCGTGGTCACTTCACCGACATGGACAATGAGATCCGCAAGACGGACATACCGGAGCGCATGCAGCTGCGCCAGGTGCCCGTGACCCCGGTGCCCGAGGGATCCCACGAGCTGGACCTCGAGGCCGATTGGATCTACAAGTTTGCCTTCTGCAAGCCAACCGTTTCCGAGCAGGAGAAGGCCGAGAATCGCGAGAAGTTGCGCAAACCGCCGACGACCGTGAACAAGATCAAACAGACGCTGGAGTTCATACGCAACCAGCAGCTGGAGGTGCCCTTCATAGCCTTCTATCGCAAGGAGTACGTGAAGCCGGAGCTAAACATCGACGACCTGTGGAAGGTGTACTACTTTGACGAGCGCTGGTGCCAGCTAAACGAACGGAAGCGCAAGCTAAAGGTGCTCTTCGAGAAGATGCGTCAGTTCCAGCTGGACACGCTGTGCGCCGACCCGGACAAACCCATACCGGACGACGTGCGTCTGATGCTGGACAGCGATTTCGAGCGCCTGGCCGATGTGCAGTCCATGGAGGAGCTGAAGGACGTCCACATGTACTTCCTGCTCAACTATTCGCACGAGCTGCCGCGCATGCAGGCCGAGCAGCGGCGCAAGGTGATCCAGGAGCGACGGGAGGCCAAGGCGCGTCGCCAGGCGGCCGCCGCCGAGAACGGCGAGGATGCGGCCGAGGGTGCGGCGATAGTGATCCCCGAACCGGAGGACGATGACGATCCGGAACTGATCGATGATCAGCTGAAACAGGCGCCCAACAGCAGTCCCTATGCGGTGTTCCGCAAGGCGGGCATCTGTGGCTTTGCCAAGCACTTTGGTCTCACGCCCGAGCAGTTTGCCGAGAACCTGCGCGACAATTACCAGCGCAACGAGGTCACCCAGGAGAGCCTGGGGCCCACGGAGCTGGCCAAGCAGTATCTGTCGCCGCGCTTCATGACCACCGACGAGGTGCTGCACGCGGCCAAGTATGTGGTGGCCCGTCAGCTGGCCCAGGAGCCCCTGCTGCGCAAGACCATGCGCGAGGTGTACTTCGACCGGGCCAGACTCAATATACGGCCCACCAAGAACGGCATGGTGCTGATCGACGAGAACTCACCGGTGTACTCGATGAAGTACGTGTCCAAGAAGCCGGTGGGCGATCTCTTTGGCGACCAGTTCATCAAGCTGATGATGGCCGAGGAGGAGAAACTGCTGGAGATCACGTTCCTCGAGGAGTTCGAGGGCAATGCGAACGCCAACGGACCGCCGGGCGACTATGTGGAGGAGTCGAAGGCCCTCTACCACCTGGATCAGTTCTCCAAGCATGTGCTGGAGTGGAATGCACTGCGAGCGGATTGCGTGAAGCTGGCGCTGCAGAAATGGGTCATTCCGGATCTGATCAAGGAGCTGCGCTCCACGCTGCACGAGGAGGCGCAACAGTTCGTGCTGCGCTCCTGCACCGGCAAGCTGTACAAGTGGCTGAAGGTGGCGCCCTACAAGCCGGAACTGCCCACCGACTACGGCTACGAGGAGTGGAGCACGCTGCGTGGCATCCGGGTGCTGGGCCTGGCCTACGATCCCGACCAGTCGGTGGCCGCCTTCTGTGCGGTGACCACCGTGGAGGGCGACATCTCCGACTACCTGCGCCTGCCGAACATCCTGCGGCGCAAGAACTCGCACAACGTCGAGGAGAAGGCACAGAAGCTGGCCGATCTGCGCAAGCTGAGCGACTTCATCAAGATGAAGAAGCCGCACATTGTGGTCATTGGGGCGGAGTCGCGCGACGCCCAGAACATTCAGACGGACATCAAGGAGATACTCAAGGAACTGGAGACGTCCGAGCAGTTTCCGCCCATCGAGGTGGAGATCATCGACAACGAGCTGGCCAAGATCTATGCCAACTCGAAGAAGGGCGAGTCGGACTTCAAGGAGTACCCCGCCCTGCTGAAACAGGCCGTCTCGCTGGCCCGCAAGATGCAGGATCCGCTGGTGGAGTACTCGCAGCTGTGCGATGCGGACGACGAGATACTCTGCCTGCGCTACCATCCGCTGCAGGAGCGTGTGCCGCGCGACCAGCTGCTGGAGCAGCTCAGCCTGCAGTTCATCAACCGCACCAGCGAGGTGGGCCTCGACATCAACCTGATGGTGCAGAACTCGCGCACCGTCAACCTGCTGCAGTACACCTGCGGCCTGGGTCCGCGCAAGGGCCAGGCCCTGCTGAAGCTGCTCAAGCAGAGCAACCAGCGGCTGGAGAACCGCACCCAGCTGGTCACCGTGTGCCATCTGGGGCCCAAGGTCTTCATCAACTGCAGCGGCTTCATCAAGATCGACACCTCCTCGCTGGGCGACAGCACGGAGGCGTATGTGGAGGTGCTGGACGGTTCGCGTGTCCATCCGGAGACGTACGAGTGGGCCCGCAAGATGGCCATCGATGCCATGGAGTACGACGACGAGGAGACCAATCCGGCCGGCGCTCTCGAGGAGATTTTGGAGTCGCCCGAACGCCTCAAGGATCTCGATCTGGACGCGTTTGCCGTGGAGCTGGAGCGTCAGGGTTTCGGCAGCAAGAGCATCACACTGTACGACATCCGGAACGAGTTAAGTTGCCTATACAAGGATTACCGCTCGCCGTATGCCAAGCCCAGTGCCGAGGAGCTCTTCGATATGCTGACCAAGGAGACGCCCGACTCGTTCTACGTGGGCAAGTGCGTGACGGCCATGGTGACCGGGTTCACCTATCGCCGGCCGCAGGGCGAGCAGCTGGACAATGCGAATCCCGTGCGCATCGAGTCCAGCGATAGCTGGCAGTGTCCCTTCTGCCACAAGGATGACTTCCCGGAGCTGTCCGAGGTGTGGAACCACTTCGATGCCAATGCCTGTCCCGGCCAGGCTTCGGGTGTGCGGGTGCGGCTGGAGAACGGCCTGCCCGGCTTCATACACATCAAGAATCTGTCGGACAAGCAGGTGCGCAATCCGGAGGAGCGCGTACGCGTCTCCCAGATGATCCATGTGCGGATCATCAAGATCGACATCGATCGCTTCTCGGTGGACTGCTCCTCGAAGACGGCCGACCTGAAGGACGTGAACAACGAGTGGCGGCCGCGTCGCGACAACTTCTATGACTTTGTGACCGAGGAGCTGGACAACCGCAAGGCCAGCGATGCCAAGGAGAAGGCGCTCAAGCGCAAGACCTACGCCCGTCGCGTCATCGCCCATCCGAGCTTCTTCAACAAGTCGTACGCGGAGGTGGTGGCCATGCTGGCGAGCGCCGACCAGGGCGAGGTGGCCCTGCGGCCGAGCAGCAAGTCCAAGGACCATCTGACGGCCACGTGGAAGGTCGCCGACGACATCTTCCAGCACATCGATGTGCGCGAGGAGGGCAAGGAGAACGACTACAGTCTGGGCCGCAGCCTGTGGATCGGCACCGAGGAGTTCGAGGACCTGGACGAGATCATCGCCCGCCACATCACGCCCATGGCCCTGGCTGCCCGCGAACTGATCCAGTACAAGTACTACAAGCCGAATGCGACACCCGATAATGCGAACGAGCGCGATTTCATGGAGCACGTGCTGCGCGACGAGAAGACCAAGGATCCCAAGAAGATACACTACTTCTTTACCGCCTCGAAGAGCATGCCGGGCAAGTTCCTGCTCTCCTATCTGCCCAAGACGAAGGTGCGCCACGAGTATGTGACGGTGATGCCCGAGGGCTATCGCTTCCGCGGCCAAATCTTCGATTCGGTCAACAGTCTGTTGCGCTGGTTCAAGGAGCACTGGCTGGAGCCGCCCGCCTCGCCGGCCATGGCCTCCTCGTCGGTGTCCAATTCGACGCCGCTGCATTCGATGCGACCGCCGCCGTTGGCCTCGTCCTCGTCATCCGTACAATCGTCGCTGGGCTCCCAGGCGCCGTACAGCATCACGGGCAGTGTGGGCGGTGGAACGCCCAGGAGCGGCATCAGCAGTTCCGGCGGCGGCGGCGGTGGTGGCAGCTCCAGCGCCTACTCCGTAACGCATTCCATTGTCGGCTACAGTTCCACATCCGGCGGCTCGTCGTCGGCGGCGGCTGCTGCTGCAGCGGCTGCTGCCTCGCACTACGGCAGCTCGTCGACGCCCTCGTTTGGGGCCATCATCAATACGCCGTACACGCCCAGTGGCCAGACTCCGTTCATGACGCCCTACACGCCGCATGCCTCGCAAACGCCACGCTACGGTCACAATGTGCCCAGTCCTAGCAGCCAATCTTCGAGCAGTCAGCGCCATCACTACGGCAGCAGTTCCGGCACGGGCAGCACGCCCAGATACTATGACATGGGAGGAGGTGGCGCTGGTGGCGGCGGCGGTTCCAATGCCTATAACATGGGTGGTGGTGGTGGTGGTGGCAACATACCGCCACATCACCAGCAACGTGCCAAAGAGAACCTCGACTGGCAGCTGGCCAACGATGCCTGGGCAAGAAGAAGGCCGCCACCGCAGCAGCAGCAACAGTCGCATCATGCCCACCAGCAGCAGCAGCAACAGCATCATCACCATCATCCCCAGCAGCAACAACAGATGGGAATGGGCATGGGCATGGGTATGGGCATGGGAATGGGCATGGGACCCGGAGGAGGAGGAGGAGGAGGCTATGGATCAACGCCTGGCAATGACTACAACAGCGGCGGCAGCGGCGGAGGAGGAGGAGGAGCTGGACACAATCGGGGAATGGGCATGAACCAGGCCATGTCATCGAAGGCCTCTGTGCGCAGCACGCCACGCACCAACACCTCACCCCACTCCATGAATCTGGGCGATGCCACGCCCCTCTACGACGAGAACTAACAACAGATACAAATACAAATAACAAACAAGAAACAAGCGCAGCTGGCGGAGAAGCAGTTGCATTAATCTTAGAAAGTTGCAGTGCGCTTTGGCATTGATCCTCAACGATATTTAAGTTTAAGAACAAGTCGATAACTGATTCGCGGTACACGCATATATATATATATATATAGATATATATACACCCTACACCTACATATAATCGAAGATCGGGGGACGCCGGCCGATGGCGTTATCCGAGGGACAAAATCGGTTGGCCAGCAGAGCCAAAATGGGGAGAAGGAGAAAGAAGGAGAAAGAGAAGGAGGAGCAAGGTTGGCAGGAACAGAGCAATCAGGTTTGTGACGACGGAAGGACGAAAAATAAATTTGAAGTTTTTCTGACCAGAAATGCGATTTATGTGTGTTCTTATTTTGCGGGGGATACAATAATGTGCTATTATAGACATTTTGACTTGATTTTGTATTTAGTTAATATATTTTTTTTTTAACAAACAGCTTTAAAAAAAAAAACAAAACAGAATGCCATTGATGTGCTCTTATTTTGCGGGGATCCAATGGAATATGATTTCAATGTAATTATGGTCCTAAAGAAACCCTTTTATCTCTTAATTAAAAACGCATACATATTTTTTTAAGCAATTTGTACATTTTATTTCGTATCAAATGTTTGGAAAATGTTCTTCTGTGTTGGAAAAAATCTCTGGAATCACGGAATGAAGCGGCTTTTCTCAGGTCCTCTTGGCTGCGGACTAATTCCTGGCTACTCCACGACGGATCACATAGACCAGCGTGATGCCGATGAAGGCGGCGCCCAGGGCCAATGCGATGTGGCGGCAGCTATTTCAGGGGATATATAGACAGTATATTGGTGAAAATCAAACATGAAAATGGGTAAAACAAAAGACATCCGGACTATTTTCCATCAACCAAACTAAGGACACTTTTGTTAATTAGCGGGTTTACAGGTTTTAAAGGGGTTAATTTAGGATGCAGCATTGCTTGGGGGCAGCGGCGGGATCATCGCTCGCTCCAGTGGGCGTGGCACTATAGTGGGCGGATGCACAAAACCAAGAAGATCAAAATAAAAACGCAAATCAAAGTAGAAACTATTCGAAAAAGGTGTAAAATATCAGCATGCAATGCTTTTTTCGTGCTCTAGTTAAATATTAATTATGTTTACTAATATTTAAAGGTGCTCTGATTAAATATGGATTATATTTACTAATATTTACAGGTAAGTCGGGACTTACAAATCCAATTAGCTTTTGTAGAATCTTACTTTCGTGCTTGAGAACGACTTAAATCTTGGGAAAAAGTAGGCAGTTTGTTAAAAATACAAATATTATACAAGCAATAATTTTAAAAAATCTAATGATTAAAGGAAATATCAACTAAAATAAGTGATCAATGTTGTTCATCTTTGGTCAACAGAAGTGGTAAGTTTTTGTGTTATATTTCTACATAAGAAATTAGTTTTGTTACTTAGGTATTTGCAATTAAAAAATGAATAATTACTAAGTTTAATTGTGGATTTCTAAAAAAAAAAGGCAAAAAGGTTTTGTATATTAGACGGTATAAAAGTTATTTTAAAAATGACGTCATAGTTCATGTACAAAAACTGTTAGCTGTTGTGATTACAAATTTAACAATATTACGAAAAGGTTTAGGAAAGGAGGACAAATGTAGGAAAACATTCAGGACTCTTCAAGCGTAACACTTTGGGGGCTTCAAGCCAATTAATGGATTACATAACAGTTGGCTAATTGTTCAATGCTTAATGGACAATTGATTACAGCCTAAAATGACCAAATGCCCAAACTCATGCAAAAACCGGTTTCGGTCGAAAAAACAAACAAAACAAAAAAAACTACATGCATTAGCAAAGTGGAATGATTTCAGGGCAACGATGAAATGGCTTATCAGGAATACATGTTTTCCCTGGAGATAATGAGATCAGTCCATGGCAGAGCAAGGCAATCCCCTGGCTTTCTTTATTTAGAGATTGTGGGTGTTTAGCCGTCATGGATGGATGGGATGAATTGGACTGGTTGCTGGCGGTTTACATGCAAATGGTGCCTTCTGGTGACCTCACCTTATGGGACTTTTCTTAGGGATATCGGCAGCAGCTAGGTCACCAATATAGTACTTCTTCAGCATCTCCCTAAGAAGGGCAAGAAAAGAAGTTAGAAAACTAGGGGAACTAGGGGAAAAACCATATTTTCCGACCTCGCCTCCGAACTGTGACCCACATCGTTGAAATCTTTGGTGGCATCGCGACCTGCCACCTCCACGAGGGATTCCTCGCCACCGGGATGCTGGAATTGCAATGGATATGGATTTAATTGGATGTTATTGCCCATGGATCCCCAAAACTGAATCTCAGCGACTTGCCTCGAGCCGGAACTTGGTCACATCGTACACCTTGTTGTTGATGACCACCCACAGATCCGTGGCCTGGTTGTGCTGCTTGATGGTGGCCAAAGGGATTTCCTTGCTCATTTTTGATTTCCTGCTCTCAAATTCTAACTGCGAACCTGTTGTTTCTCGGATTTTCAGCTGACTTTTTCGGTGTGGCCGGCTCCACCGTTCAAATATGCCAGCAGGCTCCACAAAATATACTAACTCATGTACCTTATAATTGGTTATGTACCTAGTTTACAAATTTAATCCACAAATTTAATATTTAAATGATGGGAACCATCTGCTTGTTTATATATTTAAACAAAATTTGAATTGTTTTTTTTTAGGATACAATAATTAATATTTAGAAAACAATATTCAATTGATTTAAAATTATGTTCGTTTCCAGTTCACGCAATACAAAACAATTATTGTACCTTTAATTTAAAAAAAAACAGGAACGTTAAAGAGCTCAAGTTTGAAACTACGTCTGTATTTGCTTATTAAACTTGATTATCAGTATTTGCCCGATGTATCCGAAATAAAACCATCCCAAAGCCAAGAATACTAGCAAAACAAATTATTTTTGAACACACAAATTGAAAATTTATTTTTGTAATACCAATATTTGTTGTGATTAGACTTGTTGCTTATCATTGAAGCCAATTAACTAAAATTTATAATGAATACTTGTCTTACGCCTTGGCAAGATCAATTTTATGAGATTACAATTGTGCTGAGAAAATCTAGAGAGCGCCACCACGCAGACGCAGGACCAAATGCAAAGTGGACTCCTTCTGGATGTTGTAGTCGGACAGAGTGCGTCCATCCTCCAGCTGCTTTCCGGCGAAGATCAAACGCTGCTGATCTGGGGGGATTCCTTCCTTGTCCTGGATCTTGGCCTTCACATTCTCGATGGTATCGGAAGGCTCGACCTCCAAAGTGATGGTCTTGCCTGTGAGAGTCTTGACAAAGATCTGCATGCCTCCACGCAGACGCAGAACCAAATGCAAAGTGGACTCCTTTTGGATGTTGTAGTCGGACAGAGTGCGTCCATCCTCCAGCTGCTTTCCGGCGAAAATCAAACGCTGCTGATCTGGGGGGATTCCCTCCTTGTCCTGGATCTTGGCCTTCACGTTCTCGATGGTATCGGAAGGCTCAACCTCCAAAGTGATGGTCTTGCCGGTCAAAGTCTTAACGAAGATCTGCATGCCTCCACGGAGACGGAGCACCAAATGCAAAGTGGACTCCTTCTGGATGTTATAATCGGACAAAGTACGTCCGTCCTCCAGCTGCTTTCCGGCGAAAATCAAACGCTGCTGATCTGGGGGAATTCCCTCCTTGTCCTGGATCTTGGCCTTCACATTCTCGATGGTATCGGAAGGCTCAACCTCCAAAGTGATGGTCTTGCCGGTCAAAGTCTTAACGAAGATCTGCATGCCTCCACGGAGACGGAGCACCAAGTGGAGAGTGGACTCCTTCTGGATGTTATAATCGGACAGGGTTCGTCCATCTTCCAACTGCTTTCCGGCAAAAATCAAACGCTGCTGGTCTGGGGGAATGCCCTCCTTGTCCTGGATTTTGGCCTTAACGTTTTCAATAGTGTCGGATGGCTCGACTTCTAGGGTAATGGTTTTGCCAGTGAGAGTCTTCACGAAAATCTGCATGCCACCACGCAGACGCAGGACCAAGTGAAGGGTAGATTCCTTCTGGATGTTGTAGTCAGACAGGGTGCGTCCGTCCTCCAGTTGCTTTCCGGCGAAAATCAAACGCTGCTGGTCTGGGGGGATTCCTTCCTTGTCCTGGATCTTGGCCTTCACATTCTCGATGGTATCGGAAGGCTCAACCTCCAAAGTGATGGTCTTGCCGGTCAATGTCTTAACGAAGATCTGCATGCCTCCACGGAGACGGAGCACCAAATGCAAAGTGGACTCCTTCTGGATGTTGTAGTCGGACAAGGTGCGTCCATCTTCCAGCTGCTTTCCGGCGAAGATCAAACGCTGCTGATCTGGGGGGATTCCCTCCTTGTCCTGGATCTTGGCCTTCACGTTCTCGATGGTATCGGAAGGCTCGACCTCCAAAGTGATGGTCTTGCCTGTGAGGGTCTTGACAAAGATCTGCATGCCTCCACGCAGACGGAGCACCAAATGCAAAGTGGACTCCTTCTGGATGTTATAATCGGACAAAGTACGTCCGTCCTCCAGCTGCTTTCCGGCGAAGATCAAACGCTGCTGATCTGGGGGGATTCCTTCCTTGTCCTGGATCTTGGCCTTCACATTCTCAATGGTATCGGAAGGCTCAACCTCCAAGGTGATGGTCTTGCCAGTCAGAGTCTTCACGAAGATCTGCATGCCTCCACGAAGACGCAGGACCAAGTGAAGGGTCGATTCCTTCTGGATGTTATAATCGGACAAAGTACGTCCGTCCTCCAGCTGCTTTCCGGCGAAAATCAAACGCTGCTGATCTGGGGGAATTCCCTCCTTGTCCTGGATCTTGGCCTTCACATTCTCGATGGTATCGGAAGGCTCAACCTCCAAAGTGATGGTCTTGCCAGTCAAAGTCTTCACGAAAATTTGCATATTGGCTGTTTTCGAAGAAAATATAAAAAAAATATCTGATTTAGATATTGAAAGTCAAAGGAAAGTGCGCAATTACTTTCTGCGTAGTGACCCAATTCCCGTGACCCAGAATTTTTTTTTTGTTTGTAGCATATACACACTTTCAATTGGGTTTTTCCCCCACAATGTTTTCACAACTTAAATAATTTCGCAATGAATAGGCAAATTTGCTATTAGTGACTAATAACTCTCCAATTTGAAAGAAAAAAAATTGACCCCTGGAACTGCATACACATCTTACACCATTTTCTTTTTTCTTTTTTGCTGCACTTTTCTTGCTGCGTCGCCATTTTGGCTGCAATAAGGAAAGACAACTAAATTCGATTTAATTTTCACTCAACTCACCTTATTTTCTTGTATCGCACAATAAAAACGTAATTACTTTCTTAGGTGTTTTTTTTTTTGTTTTTTTGGTTCTGCACTTTTTGAATTAATACTTTTCTATGTTCAAAAACTTGCTTTTTTTCTCTTGCTTCTGCTTTGCACGTCCACTCTCTACTATTTTCTCACTGCTTTTGCCAGTTTTTCCACTGGCAACTCGTATTTATAGGCGGCCTGACTGGAACGTCGATGCCTGCTCTCTCGCTCACTCTCGGGCAATAGTTCGGGTTGATTTGCTTTGTTTAGCACTTAATGAGGCTAAATCCTTTGTCTAATTAATAGAGACTAGGAGTTTACATGGACAAAAACATCTAACAGATGGAGGTCTCTTATTTGTCGAGCTGCAATATGCAAAATTAGACATTGAAAACTAAATGCGTATTGCAATAGCGCAGTGCATTTATCTCGCTCGCTCTAATAGTGGGGTTAGCCGAGGTATCGATAATTTCTCTTACTCATTTTTCAGCACTGGTCGCAGCTGTTTGGGTTTTGTGTGTGTATGCGTGTTCTAGCTGGGGAAGGTATGTAAAAATGTATGTTCATATGTATGCATGGACATCTTGTGACGTTCTTTGTTTGGCGAGTTAAACGACCTTATTTGTTTTGACGCCACCGGGAGATTTGTCTTCGCTTTGGTCAACAGCCTTTAGACAAGAGACCCCCACACACGCTCAATTATTGAGGCAGACATCCCATTTTCCCATCCGTACATTCATACATATACATATTCACCTGCATACTAGTCTGCGTACAAACCTACATATGCACTTGTGACTAACTGCATCTGGAAAGTTCCTGGAATATATATGGCTGATGAAATCTGATGTATACTGATGTCAGCAGATTAACCCTTGATGTAGCCCCGTAAAATATTTAACAAACTTTAAAATTTTAATTTGTTTTCAATGTTTGGAAAGGGTGTTATTCCTTGAATATACATTTTGGGTTATTTAAATACGAACATCTAGATTTTTTAATTACTTAAAAGAATTCAAAAAAGTTAGTTATTTTAAAAAAATGCTGTTTGCAATAAAGTGTGTTTATAAAATTGTATTATAACTGATTTTGATTTATATCTAGAATATTAATCTTTATCTAGAATGTTTTCTACAGATGAGCAACTGACCAAACCAGTCTTTATAATAAAACAATCGACTCAAATACCATTGAAATAAAAAAAGTATAAATATACAAAGTCATGAAAATGACTCATGGGACATTTTCACATAACCAACCCTCGAATCTAATACAGAAAAGACCTATACTCATCAAAATACATACACAGGGGTTGTTTACTTTAAAATTTTATTAAACAAATTTAAAAATACTGATGAACAATCTTAATAGAAATTGTAAAATATTTTTCGAAAAAAAGTATTTAAAATTTAGCATATATAAATTTAGCAACATATAATTTCCATAAGTTTTTTAAAGACAACAGTATTCTAAAAAAAGAACTTATAGAAATTTTTATTAATCAAATATAACTTTTTTGGTTTTTTAAATAATTTATAAATATTAGCTTATTTATAAACTTTTCCTCTACATAAGCTGTGTGTTAACCTTTCTGTGAACTAAAAAGCCCTGCCCCTAAAACAAATAAAAATGTCCACATTCTTTATACAAATTTCGTTTCTTTATTCGACTTGTTCTTCTTGTAAATGCAATCCAGAGTCCTCAAACGAAATACGCCGCCAGCTGAGCCATTTTGTCCTTGGGCTGTCGACCGCCGCGTCCGCCACGCCCTCCGCCCCCAGGACCAGGACCACCGCCGGCCGCAACTGGTCCTCCAGCGGCACCAGGTCCACCGACTCCACCGCCGCCACGCCCCACTTTGCCACCCCGGGATCCACCGCCACTGCGGACGGGTCGCGAGGCCACTGCCCGATGCTTCTCGACCAGGTGGGAGAAGTCCGTGGAGCAGAAGATGCAGCCGCTCTTCTCCTCGCTGCCGTCCTTGAACTTGCTCTTGTCGGACTTGTAGACCACGTTCACCTGCTGGGCGCCGCACTCCTGGCACTTGGCCTCTGCAAAAACGGAAAGGGAATCGTTTAATACAACCAGCAATAGTTTAGATCTCAAGATGGTGGTAAACGGTGCCTATTAAAATCATTAGATAGAAAAGTTATAATTAAAAAAGCAAAACTTAGGACTTTAAATATAAGCTTTCAAAAGAAATTCTTTGGGTAATCACGAAATTGCAAGCAGTAATATTTTACATGGATTTTTAGCTGGTTGTAAACGGTGCAGCGGTAGATTATCAAAATCATTCGATAGAATGGGTTATATTAAAAATTAAAACTAAGGGCAGGAGAAAACTTTCGAGGAATCACAAAATAAATATATGATTATGAATAGTGTAGTGTTAGGTTAAGGAATATCACTCACTACACCGTTTACAATGAGCTTTTAGAGGTGAACCCTCATAGAATGACGACAACTAATCATGACTTGAAATAGTCAGTGATTTAGGGACTCACCTTCCACTGTGATCTTGGTGGCGCCCTTAAAACAGTTGATGATTACGTCGCAGCGGTTGCAGCCCAGCTTCCATGAGGGCGCCAGCGTGCAGTCGAGCACCAGGACGCCGGTGGGGCACTCCACGCAGCCGGAGATGCCCAGCGTGTTCAGTGAGTGCGGGCAGGTGGCGTGTGTGCAGGTGTTGCAGCCCCCCAAATTGGGCATGTCGCTGAACGGCGGATGGTTGTAGCAGTACGGGCAGAACGGATACGAACGCCCCTTGACGCCGGTGGAGAAGGCCAGCAGATCGAAGTCATCCAGCGGGCACTTGAACTCACGATACACCTTCACATTGCCGATGGGCAGGGCGTATGTCTCGTCGCAGTGCGAGCAGTGCAACCTCGCCGGCTTCGTCTGCAAAGGGAGAAGCGTTTACGATTAACCTGGAGAAGCAGCTAACGCAGAAGGGAGTCGCACCTGTATGTACTTCATGTACCGCCTGCATTTGCCGCAGCGCGAGTGCGCCTTGCCCGATTCGGCCAGCGGCGAGAAGGACACCTCGAACAGGGAGTCCATGTTGGCGATGTTCTTCACAAAGTACATGAACTTCAGCTTAAAGATCTGAATGGCATGGCGAAGCACATCGTGGAAATCGGCCGAGCCCTGGGCAATCAGGGTCAGCATGCGCTCCACCTCCGTTCGCATGGTGGGCAGCACCAGCTCCGGATCGATCTTCTGATAGCCATGCACCAGCACAATGCCCAGCGTCGTGGGTATCAGCTTGCGTCCGTTCTCGATGTGCACATAGTTGCGCTGGCAGATGTTATTGATGTGCACCGGTATGGAGGCGTCCGTGCCAATGCCATGCTGCTCCATCAGGGTGATCAGCTCCGATTCGGTGAGGTAGTCGGGCGGCCCCGTTTGGCTCTCGGCCAGTCGCACATCGTTGATGGCCACCTGGGTGCCCTGGACGAACGGCGGCATCGGCTCGTCCCGGCCGAAGGCCTGCCACGTCATCACCTTGGTGAAGCCGGCATCCAGCAGCACATTGGCCGTGCAGCTGAAGGTCTCCAGGCCGACGCGCAGCTTGGCCGTCGTCACGCGATACTTCAGATCCCGCGATACCGTGCCCATAAAGTGACGGCAGATGAACTCGTAGACGCGCCAGGTGTCGCGATCGAAGTCACTGCGGTTGCCCAACTTCATGGGCGTGATCGGTGGATGGTCGCCCGCATCCTTGCCCTTTCGCGGCGTCTGCATGTCGCCCAGAATGGTGCGCGCCTCCTCGCCGAAATCCCCCGATGGCTTCAGCACATGCAGCACCGCCGGCAAATCGAAGTTGGTCGGATACTGATTGGTCTCCGTGCGCGGATAGCTGATGTAGCCCTGCGTGTACAGGCGCTCCGCAATTTGCATCGCCTGGAACGGACCGATGCCCAGGCCGGAGCTGCAGATCCGCATCAGCTCGACGGTGTTCAGCGCTTGCGGTTTGCTCTTGAAAGCCTCCTTGCTGCCCACGCTCTCCACGCTGAAAGGGGGAATGGGATATATAATATACCTTATCATATAGTTGCCATAGGAACGATCGAATAATTGAGCTGAAAATCATCATGGCTTCAATGGGATTCAATGGGTACTCATATAATTCGAAATTTAGATCTTTTAAATATAGCTTCCTTTCTTATTTTTAAACTGAAATAGTTTCATGTTGCTTTCAATTCTTAAGCTGGCAAAGTGAAAGTGAATTAAAACAGGCAAACATGCTTTTATCAACTCGACTGCTGATGATGCACAAGTTTATAAAGACTATAATCCCAGCAAGGGTATCAAATGGTGCAAAGCTTCATTATACGCATGATAAAATGAAAAACTCGACTGTAAACTGGACGACAATCTTACGTGGCCTCCTTGTGCTCCTTGGTGCGGTTTAGCAGCATGATGGCGATGTCCTTCTTGAAGACCCGGCCGCGTGCCCACTCCAGCGTCAATTCCGGCTGGCCGGCGAGCAGCTGCAGGTACCAGAAGCTCTCCGGCTTAAAGGTCTGGATGTCGTCGTGCCGCTTCACGCAGAAGCCGAGCGTGGGCGTCTGGCAGGGACCGTAGGAGATGAGCGAGGAGTCCAGGTCGCCGTAGCGATCCTGGAAGAACTTTGTTTGGAAGCGCGTGAAGGCGCAGCCAATGCGCAGATCCAGCTCCTGGCGGGCGTCTACCGACTTGGCCTCGTTCTCGTTGGGATGCCCCAGCGTCTCCATTGCGCCCTTGATGTCCTTGTCCGTGATGGCCGAGAAGTGGGCACGGTAGGTGACCTGCTTGCTGTACACATTGTGGATGACATGCTGCACGGCGTCCATCACCTCGAAGCAGATGTTCTCGCCCTCCTTGTCGCAATCCAGCCAGAGGACCAGATAGTCGCAGCCGCGCGCCTCGTGCGCCAGAAAGGTGCGCATGTGCTGCTTGGGATTCGTTTCCTTCTTCTCGGTGGGACAGCCGAAGAGCTCCACGGGATCCACTTTGTCCCACGAGTTGTACTTGCTGATGAAGTCCAGCGACATCACATGCCCGCAAACGGAGGTCATGCGGAAGTGCACACTGCCCTCGTTCCGGAAATTGCCCGTCCATTCGTGAGTGGAGCAGCCGTTGCCGGTGCCTGGACGGGATTGAATTGGATTGGGTTTTACTATT